AACATCCTACTCAGACCCATCCCAACTCTGCATTTCCCATGGTTAACCCACTAGCCTGCACGTCCCTGGACACTATGGGCAATTTAGCACGACCAATCCACCTAACCTGCACATCTTTGGACTGAGGGTGGAAACTGGAGCACCCAGAGGAAATGCACGCAGACACAGGGAACATGTGCAAACTCCACACAGTCACCCAAAGCTGGAATCAAACCAGTTCCCTGGCACTGTGAGGCAGCAGTGCTAACCATTGAGCCACTATGCTACCTCAAATGTCAACCCTAAGTCCAGAAATGTCCCACCAACTACTGCCAGTAATCCAAAGCTTTTATCCTCTCTATTTCTGCTTTAAATCTGCATTTTGGAATCACAGATTAGTGTCCATATCCTGCCAACAATTGTATGGGTAGTGATATGGGCAGCCTGGATTTTCTCCTCCTTTGCTACTGTGATTTCCACTCCAAACCCAGTGTATTTCTCATACTGCAAAATGATGTAGCACATGTACGGATCACTTCAATCTTATTTATATCTCACACTGCAAGGATCCCTACACAATTTGCATTAACCTGGATTGGACAAACATATGTTTGATAAGCTATAACTCAAATATTTTTGTTACAATACCAAAGGTTCCTCCTCAGAAATCCAAGAACCCTGTTTCCTTTGGATTTTATTTCCTGAACGTGGAGTCCTCATTGTATGCTGTTTTTACAATGAATGCTGAGGTGTGATTGTGCATCTACCTATTGGAGAATTTGATTACAGAAATTAAAATTGTTGATAGATCCTTTGTGTTGGTGATGAACAAGATGTTTTGACATTAAGTAGGACAGAATGGGTGGCGATAGGATGATGGGCAAAAGAGCAAGCAGGAAATTTCAGGAGAGGTAAAAGACAGAGATTGGACAATATGTAAAATTCAGCAGATAATTGCAAGAGGAGTTAAAGAAAGAAAATTGGGGAGTAAAGTGATGTAGAATTGGAGGAGGTGGAAAAGAAAGTGGAATGGAAAGATTGAAAAAGAGAGCAGAGAGATTAACAAAATAGAGCATGGAATCCCTCTAGTGTAGAAAGATGCCATTCACAGACATAGAATCCCTACAGTGTGGAAACAGGCCGTTTGGTCCAACAAGTCCACACCGACCCTCGGAACATCCCACCCAGACCCATCCCCCTATAGCCCATCTAATCTACACATCCCTGAACACTATGGGCAATTTACAATGGCCAATCCACTTAGCCTGCACATCTTTGGACTGTGGGAGGAAACCAGAGCACCCAGAGGAAACTCACGCAGACACGGGGAGAATGTGCAAACTCCACACAGACAGTTGCCCGAGGGTGGAATCAAACCCTGGTCCCTGGCGCTGTGAGGCAGCAGTGCTAACCACTGAGCCACTGTGCCGCCCTACATGGTGTGAATGTGCAATCTTGACAGAGACAATCACTTGAGGCTGGGATCAAACCCATGTCCCCGCAACAGTGAGGCAGCAGCGCTAACTTCTGTGCCACCATGCCACCCCAACTCAGGTAAATGCTTACTAAAATCCCATTGGAAACATTTATCTGAGGTCATCTTAAACCAATATTTAATTGTAACAATGTTTTCCAATGCCAGTAAAGAACATATACTATCCAGTGTGATGCAGAGCCAAAGAGAGCTGGAGGACAGATGCCATTTGTGGTGTGTGATGACGTGATTTTAATGGAGCTGAAATTCCTGCAGTTTGGAGTATCGTGTGTAGCTGTGACTGCAGTATTCCGTAAATGATAAAAAGGCACTGGAGAAAGTGCAAACAAAATTTGAAAGGTGATACCAGGTTGGGGCTCTTTTGTCTAGAAAAGGGAAAGCTGAAAGTTGGCTTGATAGTCGTGTTGAAAATTATGATATGGTTTGATAGCACTGGTGAACAGGAGTTGCTTCTACTTACATGGACCTGAATATAAGATCATCACTAATGTATGCAATGAGGAAGATGTTTTTTTAATCAAGGAGCAGTGAAAATGCAGAACTTGTTCCCTCAGTGAGTGGTTGAGGCAGAGATCGTGTAACTACTTAAAGGGAAATAGGATCAATACAAGACAGAAAGGAATAAGGTGAAATGTAAAAAGGTGGAGAGAAGCTTGTATGGAGCATAAAGACCAATATTGATTAATTGGACCAAAAGACCTGATTCTGTGCTATAACGTAGATGTAATTCTATGTATTATGTGATGGAGCAAACAATAGTAACCCTCAGCATTTTCAGTTTGGCAGGTAGGGGTTGCTGATGGGAACATTGGCAACCTGACACTTGCTCACTGTCCAGTGACAATGGTGAAATGTGGCTGTTGGGCTAAGCCTGGGTCTGGTTTGTTATGATGCTTTCCACAGACAAATAGGCTGCCATCCCTTAGCATTAATGCACACCTGAAGAGCGAGCACTTGGGAGAGCTGCCAATGAAAAATGTGGAAGGTACCAAAGCAAGAGTCAGCAAATTCAGTTGACTTGGGGACACTGAATTGAATTAACAGTACCAAAAGACATTGCAGTTTTAAAAAAAAAATTAATTCTTGGGATGTGGGCATCATTAGTAAAGCAAGCATTCATTGTCTATTGTGAGTTGCTCTGAGTACTTGTCAGTGGACTTTCCTGTTGAGCCTATGCTGGCAGCTTCAATACTCTTGATTGTCTTGCTGCAATGATTCCATGGGCTATTAAGAGTCAACCATGTCATTGTGGAACCAGTCAAATTTTGGTGAGCCTGCACACACTGATGATCTTAAAAGAAAATTTGGTACAAAATGTTTTCAAACAGTAACAAAAATACAATCAATTTAAAGAACTATTATTTGTTATCATTGCCGTCAGCCTTAATGTGTTTAAGTAAACTTGGCCTTCCATTTTTCAAGGTTTTCCAGACTGAAAATTCTGAATAGGGAAAAAAAATTACATATTCTGAAGATGAAATGAATGGAATCCCGAGGGTTGCAATCAAAACTGAACCCATTGCAGGAGCAGCTGTTAAAGTACGAATGGTGTTTAAAAAAAAATTGGCGATTTCTATTCAGAAGGAATTTTCTAGAAAGTGTAATGAATGAAGCTTTTTGTTGGCAGTGGTGAGATGATTTTCTTCCTGTTGACAGAGGGACACACAGTTGAATAGAGTTTGTGTGATTGCTTTTAGGATGCTTCGGGTCCATTGCTGATGGTTTCCATGGCAACTACTTTTTGAGGCCGATGCTTCCATTGTGGGATTTGGGTCATTGAGAATGCTTGTGGGTCCTTTCTCCTTAGGATTTCACTGTTTATTTTACCAGACATTATGCTGACTTCTTATGGCATTTTATTTTTCTTCTCCTCTGGCTATTTCTGGCAGGACCAGTGGTTCAATCTCCTGTGTGTTCAATTGTCAAGGAAGAGATCAATAATGAGACACCCCAATTTAGCAATCATCGTACAGTGGAAACAAAGCAATCTGATTTTTAAAGAATTCAGAATCAAGGGACAAATAAACTCAAAAATTTAAATGGAGACAGGCAGGGAGTGTTTAGATTGTTTGTCTTTTCCAACAACCACCTACAAAGCCTATTCTTCAATAGTGATATGCTCTCTGTTTTGGTTATTAACTGTGGTCATTCAATCCATAAACTTAGAATCTTTCAGAAAACAAGATTCTCCAGGCCTCTGTCCTAAATTTTCTTTTATTTATTCTCTCCTTTATGTCTACTCATTTTTGACCCTTTTATCACTGTACCGCACAACACCAGAAGTACTGAGCGATAGGGTGAAATGCAATGAACATACCAAAGTTGCTGGCTACCGTGGTGTGATATTCTAGTTACAGAACTACCAGTACAGATAGGTACTTAAAAATTTCAAACCCGAGGAAACCAATACAGAGACAGAAACAGAAAGTGCTACAAATACTCAGCAGCTCTGGCAGCACCCATGGAGAAAGAAAGAGTTAATGTTTTGAGTTGAAGATGGCTTTTCAGAACGTATACAGGAATCCTGAAATTACTATCCCATACAGTTAGACAGGTTTTTAGTATTTTTGCAATTTTACAGCATCACAGTGGTTGTGTATGATATTATTATAGTCTAATATTGCAATATCAGTATTGGGTAACATGCTGGCTCAATGATTAGCACTGTTACCTCACAGTGCCAGGGACCCAGTTTCGATCCCAGCCTTGGATAACTGTCTGTGTGGAGTTTACATATTCTCCCCGTGTCTGCATGGGTTTCCTCTGGGTGCTCTGGTTTCCTCCCACAGTCCAAAGATGTGCACAATAGGTGGATTGTCCATGCTACAAATTTCCCTGAAGTGTGCAGGTTAGATGGATGAGCCATGGGAAATGTAGAGTCACAGGGATAGGGTGGGGGGCTGGGTCTGGGTGTGATGATCTTCAGAGGGGCAGTGCAGACCCAATGGGTTACTTTCTGCACTGTAGGGATTCCATCAATACAATATTACTCGATTTTATGAAGTGTAATTCCACTTTTGCAAATTCTTCCATATTCAAGTCCCCTCCCTATCTCTGTAACCTCTTCCAATCCCATCTGCCACCCTCACTACAACCTCTGCCTTCAACTCCCATGGTACCATTCTTTTGAATTCTGCTTCTCAACCTTTTTAATACTGTTCTCCTCCTTTTTAATGCTGTTTAAAACCTAGCTCAACGATCAGGCTTTTATCATCTGTCCTAATATTTCTTTATGCCACTCGGCACCAAATCATGTTTGATAACTGCCCTGTGAAGTGCCAAGGATGTTCTACAGTGGTAAAGGCTTTATAGCGATACAACTTGTGGCTGTTGTTGGAGTAAGGCTTGCAATATTACTGGAGCAGAGATTTACAGTATTACTGCAGCACAGTGTTACACTGCAGCACAACAGAGCAGACTTTTTTGGAACTCATTAGAAACAGACTACAGTCACGCAGTCAACTAGCCTCAGCAGCAAAAGTGTGATTCAAACTGTAAGAGGTTCAGGGCAGCTGAATAAGAACAATTACAGCAAACTCTATTGCATTTTATTTGATTGGTACAATAGTTTAATTACAAATAGTGTTTAAAATCGCAGATAGCTGCTGCAGAATTATCAAAGTGGTAGGAAGATACAGATTTGTATTCTGTACTTTTTTTGCCATGTGGACATATCACATTCGTGACTCTCAGTAATGTACACGGAAGATACTGTGCGTCAATTGAAATATTACATCCAAGATATCTGGAAACAAGACATTCTCATTTCATAACCTGAAACATTTAATTATTATTTTTGATCAGACATTTAAAATAAAACAACTTAAATCAAAAATGCTCCCAGTATGCATTTCACTCCTAAAATTTGGCTCTTCTGCATTTTAAATATTAACAATATCTAGAACATCTCTGGTTGAAACGATACATCATGCAAGGGTTAGTGCAACCAGTGATCAATCTGTAAGTTACAACGTAGTTAAGTAAAATGTACAAAATCAAGGATGGAAAAGTTCTTGGAATTAAGTGCATTAAGACAATTATGAATGAATGAATCATTTAATTTTCTAATGCCTACAGTTTGGCTTGTTCACGCCAAACCAAATTAAACCAACCCTCATTGAACTGTAAAGTTCAACTTTCACTAAAATTCTGAGGTTTGCCGCCAGTGTAGTGCGCAGTGTAGAGTCTTCATAGTTCCTCTGGTACCTGAGAGATCTTTGGGCAGTGAGATGATGTCAACAATTGGTATGAAGTCTAATTCTCTCCTGCCCAACTGAGCAACAGCATTGACACCGAGAAGGATACCAGAATTAAGCAGTTATCATTAGCAGGGAAGATTGACCAAGCTATTGCTGTTTTCTACAGAAAAGAGGCTGGTGGGGCAGAGAGTGTGAGGAGAGACCTGATAGATTATGACGGGCTCCAACAGACACAGTTTATAGGGATTTATGGAAGATGATTCTACTTGTGGGACTACTACATCTGGAGGTGACAAATATAAGATCAAATCCAATAAAGAATTTGGAAGACACTCTGTACATAGAAATTAAACTGTGGAGTTAGCCACCACAGGGAGTGTAAGACAAATATTACAGATATTTTCAAGGGGAAGTGAATGAATAGAAGGATTTAGAATTAGGGTGAGATAAAGCAAGATGGGAGGTAGCTCTGTGGAGCATAAACACCAGTCTGGAAAAGATGGGGAGAATTGTAGTCTGCATTCCATGTAACTGCCATCACATCAATCCATCCTATATAACGTTTCTCCTTTTCTGGTTGTGCATCTGCTTTCCTCCTCTTTATCATCACATTCTTCAGCTTAATAACCCTCTGAGGTCTCTGTTTTTCCCCATTGCTGGCTATCTTGAGCAAACCCAATTTTTATCACTTCTCCACTGGTGCACATGACTTCAGGCTCTTAGATCCTCAGCTCTGAAAGTCCCTTCCTAAACTTCTTTTAAGATGCTTCTTTAAAGAAAATGGTTATATCTCCTTCAGTGGCTCAATGCCAAATGCTTTCTGGTAACACTCCATCTGAAGTGGCTTGGGATGTTTCTATAATCAAGGTGCCACATAAACATTTGTAACTGTTGTTGCCACCTTGACTTTTGGGTTAAAGAGGTAAGTGAGGAATAAGCTGTTGAAATGTTGTAACTGTGCTGACAGAAGGAGTAGGTATTGGGATCCCAACTCTTCGTGCGTAGCCATGCTTGAGAGTTTGAAATTGCATCAACAATACAGAAAGACAGATAAGGTTAGAATTTAAGAGCAAGCAGGTTATGTTGAAACTAAAATGAAACTGGTAAGGCCTGAAAGATTGACTACTGCTCTGTCAACACGGACATTTTTTGGCCTGCTGAGCTTTTCCAGAATTTTCTGTTTTTGTTTTGGATTTCCAGAATCTACAGTTTTCTGCTTTTCAAAGTTATGCTGAACTTGTAGAAGACATTAGTTCAACCTCGGCTAGAGTATTGCATCATACTTTAGGAAGGAAGAAGACACTGGAGAGAGTGCATAAAAGATTCACAACAATGGTCCTAGAGTGAGGAATTTCAGTTATGAAGGTAGGCTGGAGAAGTTCAGATTGCTCTTAAAGAAAAGATTACTGAGAGGAGATGTGATAAATGTATTCAAAATCATGAAGAGTCTGGACAGATAGTGAGAAACTGTTCCCATTTGTGAAAGGATCAAGAAACAGAGGGCACAGGTTAATGAAAGAAGCAAAACGACATGAGACGAACTTTTTTCATGCAGTGTGTTGCAGTCTGGAATGCATTGCCTAACAGTATGTCAGAAACAGGTTCAAGTCAAGTGTTCATGAGGGAATTAGACTGTGATCTATAAAGGAAGAACATGCAGTGGTACAAGAAGAAAGTGCAAGAATGGCACTAAGTAGATTGCTTATTTGGAGGCTGGTGAAGATACAACGAATCAAATGGCCTCCTTCTACACTATAACGATTCTTTGATTCTCAGAATGCTAATGTTCTCTGTCAGGTGTTTTTGTCACATCAAGGTTGAGTTTTGTTTTACATTAATTGATTACTTTGCTTAGTCAACAACACCACTGTCCTCATAATGTGCAACTTATCATAGGTTTCAGTTTGCACAGAGTGCACTGGGCCTCATTCTGAACCAGGAGTACAAGAGAATTCCCATTCTACAGAGTTCCCACCCCTGACAAGCCATTCACTTTCTAAGGGGCTATTGCATGTTTGACACTTTACAGGCAACTTAGAAACTGGCAATAATGATGGCGACCTCAGGTAATCGAGTATATTCCATTTTACATTCCACTTCCTCAGTTATGTTCAAGTTATGACAGTGATTGCAGAAGATTAGAGGAACTTGATTTCACTGATTCCTTCACGAGCACGTCTTTCTTTTTGGTCCGACACCCAATCATCTGCTGGTATGTGCTTACAAAGTGGTTTGCAGCTTAGTTAGGTTTGTGTTCAGTAAAGGGAGATCTGGCCAAGGTGTTTGAAATGATTCAAGGATTAAAGTGGGTGGATGGAGAGAAACTATTTACCATGGGTCAGGTGAGCCCAGAACAAGGGGGCGTAACATCAAACTTAATGCCAAGCCATTGACATTTCATGGTGGGAAACCATGGGCGAAGGGTAGTGGAAATCTGGTACTTTCTTCCCAACTGTCCACACCTAGGCACTTACAAACGCACTTCAGTGAGATGTTTTTCCTGTCTGGAGTTCAAAAGACCAATTTCCTCGCTCCAACTTGGACCCCACTTGGGCATCAGTTAACCTAACACAGGCTAGGGTTAGATTCTTGGACAACTTTCTCTGGATAGGTGGAAGGAGCCTTTCTACATTAAGACTCCAGCTGGCTTCAAACCACCTAACACGAATCAGAGAGTTGTACCTCCTGAGAACATTTTTCTCATTACAACTGCCCACTAAAAGGGTTAATACAATAATCATCACATCTGGAACAATTGCCATGGTTATACTTTGTGTATGGAGTTGGTCATGGAATATAAGTATACACTTTTTAAGCTATATTTGGTTGTGTATTAAAATCACAATTAAAAAAACATGCAACACTTTAAAGAAAGATTGGACATAGCTTTTGTTTGGAAAGTACAATTCATACACATTGCTGCACATTTATTAAATACACAGCATCCTTTTCTGTTTTTTTGGTGATATTCATTTTAAAACAATCTAATGATATTGTATTTTAAATAAAAACATTATCGTGCAATTTTATTTTTATACAAGAGCATACATAGTTTTAAAAAATAATTCAGGCAGTTGTGTCATGTTGTAAATATGTATCCAGATGGGGGCTAAGATACAACAGCAACACCTAGGAACTGAAGACACATTTGCCTGATCTCTGACTCAAAATGAGTAGCATTAGATAATAAACACCACTGCCACATATTTCACATCCCCACTGATGGTAGGAAGACATAGTTGTTCACAAGCTCTTAAGAGCTGAATTTATTTTCTGTCTTTCACTAGGTCTCACTCTCTTCTCCCTTGCTGTTTTTGCGCAATTCTTAGTGCTTTCTTCTGCATCCGTTTGCACCTGCATTGTAAAAGTTATACCAGTGCAAACTACACCATTTGTGCAAAATATGGCACACCAGAAGTGCAACATAAAAATAACGCACAAATTCAAGCTTTTCGAAAGTTGGACCCATTCCCAAGGATGTTGCTTCTCAGTACTGCTCTTGCAGTGAAAACATCACGTGATCATTCTTGAAGTCTCCTGATGCATTTCGATTTATTTGACCTCAGTAAGCTCTCTTTGTAACAGGTCTTAAAGTTTTAGCATGAAGAAGACCTCAGTCTCGTTGTTAGCAGTTTTTGGGACCTTGACTTCATCTGGGATTTGATAGGGCAGAGCTACATCTGTGCAAATGCTCTTAGCGTCACAGCAGGCCCCCTCTGGGTTACCCCTCTCTTCCAGCATGCTGGACGGGTTGCTCTGCCCCAGATTCTGCAGCCGTAGCCGTTCCTGTGCCTGCTTCGCCCGGTTTGCAATATATCGCACCCGGCTCTGGCTCCTTGATGAAGCTCTGCGCAGGACAACCGGGCTACAGTCCTCAGTCTCTGGAGGTTGGCCAGTGGTGGGAGAAGTGATATCATTTTCCCGTTCAAAGCTTGTGATCCTCTTCAGCTGCTCCGTCAAATTGTCCTGGGTGAATCTCTTTATGCCAGCTGCTCTGCGCTGCTCACGCATGGGCTTTGTGATAAAGGTCCGACTAATGCTCTTGTACTTGCTGTCAAAGCTGGGCACAATATCATCAGAAGTTAGGTCCCCCAGGCTCTTTGACTTACTTGGACAGTCTGCTACCTTTCTGCTTTGTGTTATGGAATTGAGAGTTGGGGAAGACTGTTTGAGGCTTTCCATATATAGCCTATTCCAGGTGTGTCGCCTTGAGTTTGACTGGCCGGGAATTGGCAATGATTTACCCAAGGGCTTTGGTTGAAGGTCATCAACTTGTTGCTGGTCACCATGAGATCTTAAATTGGGATTAGACTTACTTTTGCTAACTTTGGTGAGCATTTCATGACCAGTTGTGGCCGATCGAGGCCTTATCGGCTTATCTATCACAAGCCCTTCCAAAGTTTCGTTCTGCCTGCTGCTCAGATCAGACAAGCTCTTCCGGGCCAAGTTGGGTAATGACAAGTCAATGACAGTGTCATTTGATGACATACTGGATGACGAGGACATACTATCCCTGTGGTTCCCACAATCCAATTTACACCAGATTCTATCATTAATGGTCACATCTGATGACACCGCAGGCACAGGAGAGGTGCACATTTGGATATGAGTCACCAACAATGACTGTTGACTTTGAATGAGATGTCCGTCGCAACTAATGCTCCGTACGATATCAGGGTGAACGTTTGTCCTAACAAGACAACCAGGGGAATGTTTGTCACACCCATGTTGAGCACCTTGTGGTGGAGAACTGGAGATTAAATCAAATGTAGGACAGTTCTGAGATTCAGCTGATTCTCTGCTGTCCGATCTCTCACCAGACTCTTCCTGAACAGAATTACTGGCTGAGGATCCCATGGGTAAAACATCAAATTGATCCAGATGGTCACTGAGGATTCCAGCTTTCTCCTTGCATTGGCCATCTGGTGCCAATGAGGGATCTTTCTGGCTTTGAGAAGAGCTCATTGTGGTTTTGGAGTGATCAATGGAAGTGCACAAACTTGCATTGTCATCAGAAAACTGGGAAGCTTCATCATCATCCTGAGAAGCTTCATGGAGATTTGATGCAAGACAAACGTTACCTCCTCTGAGGAGATCCTTGCCCGGACAAACAGCTCCATTTTCCAACTGTTCCTCACTGTAACATGCCTCTGGGGCCTTTATTGCTTGGTTATCATTGGTAGAGATCTTTATTGATTTTGGTGGTGGCGGACTGCTCTCTGGAACTAAGTGTTCTTCTGAGTTGGTGGTTTCTTCTCTGGAACTGCTCACAATAGATGAGGACATCTGCTGGGAGTCAGTGCAAGTTCTATCCTCCAAATGCATAGATTCTTCACTAATAGTTTCGAGAGTGTGCATGGGAATGCTTGGAACTGGATGTGAGAATGGCTGGACACCTGCAAGGAGAAGAGGAGAAGAAAGCAGTCAAAAAATGTCAATTCAGCTTCTCTACTCTTTTAACATACAGTCACTGTGTGTGGTGGTCAGGTCAATGCATGGAAGGCATCAAAGTTTACAAAGTCAGATTGTTTTCTTGTGACACTTCTGGGATATGGGCTTACAGCAATAGTTCTCAAAATTGTTTTCTTTCTGTCCTGTTTCTCCCTGACCTCTTCACAATGGTCTCGTTCACATTGGAGGTTTGGCTGCACTGTGGCCTTCTCATGCAAAAGGCTGTCCTTGGATATTAGCAAATGTCTATGGCCATTTCATGGGAAACATCAAAGCTGGTCCTGGCAACCCACAACAGTTGTTGACGTACACTTCCAACAGGGGTCACCAGTGGCAAAGTGTCATGAACTACAATATTCAGCCCGTCCCCAGTTCCTTTAGCTCCACTTCCAGCTTTACTGGGAATAATTAACAGAATTAGATCCTGAGTAGTGTATTTGAATGCTGATCGCCAAATTATCCTTTTAAATTAGCATCACATTGACCGAGAAAGCCAATGGACATTTTAACTTTGTCTGAAATGTTCAAGACATTGTTAACCTTCCCGTATAACATGACAACCAATTCTCCAGCAGATTTACTCCAATGAGACCTCAGAAAAGCTTTAAATGGAAATGGTTTTCGTGGATAACAGTCACATATATTAAAACTAAAGCAATTTCATATTTTTTTAAAAGATACGTGCTCTGTTATAGGTCATTCATAAAATAATAACTTCATCTCTTTCAATTTCTAAATGCCACTGAACTGGTGTAGTCTTTCCCCTCAGTGTGGAATAAACTCAGTAAGCCAGTTCATGCAATCAATTATAACTTATAAGTGGAAACACTTAGGTGATTAGGACAAATAGACTTCAGACTGACAATAGGAGCTGCTTTGGTATTGAAAGACAACATATAATATTAAGCATAGTGCAAACAATCATACCACAATACAGGCTAACACAGCACAATACAGTCAAACATAGCACAGCACAGACAAACACACCACGGTACAGTCTAACACACCACAACACAGTCAAACACACCACAGCACTGTCTAACATAGCACAGCACAGTCTAACACAGCACAATATAGTCTAACACA